CAGACAGGGCACTAAGATCCGGTAAAGATGCAAAGAGTATACAAAGTGCCCTTCACAAAATAGGGAATGCAATAAAAACAGCAAACCTGAAGCCCCACCACCAAAGCAGTGTATGACAATCATATGAAGACATATTATGACATATGACAATCATTATATGACAATATGACAATTATAATCAAAGCATTATATGACAAAGTGCTGGGAAGACGGGACACCACGAGAGTAGCTCTCATCCTGTAACTACACTTAGGTAAGTACACATAGGTAATTACCAACCGTGCTAGCCCCAGAAAAACTGGAGAGGAACGTGCCAAGAAGTGACCTGGAGGTCCAGGTCCACCATCCATGCACCCGGCCCTAACAGAATCCGAACAGGAGACAACAGTCCTCCGAGCAGGGCAGAGGATCCAGGGCGCAGACGGAAGTAGTCCAGAAGAACTGCAGACTGGAAAAGCTCATGACTGCAAAGAGCAGACGGGAAGCCCAGAAGGATGGGGCGGATCGACCACGCCCCACGCACCCACGAAGAGGAAATGACGAAGCGCAGGGAAGAAGCCCACCCCGCCAGCTCTGAACCCCCCCAAGGGGGAGAAGCCGTCCTCCGACGCCAGCAGAGGCCGGAAGACAACCCAAAGCGCCCACCAACAGCGGGACCAAGCGAGAGGCAACAGAGCAAGCTGCTCCCCCAGCGCCCAGTCAACAGAGAAGGGAACAGAACCCCTTCAGAAAGAAAAAGTACACTACCGAAGTCATGAGGAGAGACTACGGGAATGAAACCACATTTCGCTGGAAGAGGAAGTGAGGAGAGACCTGATCACCACATACAAGATACCCAAGGGAATCGACAGGGTGGAGAAGGACAGGATATGTAACACAAGGGGCACACGCACTAGGGGACACAGGTGGAAACTGAGTACCCAAAAGAGCCACAGATAGAATTAGTTTTTTTTTTTTTTTTTTTTTTTTTTTTTTTTTTTTTTTTTTTTTTTTGAGTGTCAGAATGGGAACGGGAAAGCACTAAGAAGTAATGTGGCGACTCCTCACACAAGTAACGAGGCTGACCCCCATACAATGTCACATGTAGACATGACAGAGCCCAAGAGGCACAGGAACCGATACACCTGTTGACGGACGGTTGAGAGGCAGGACCAAGGAGCCAGAGCTCAACCCCCACAAGCACAACTAGGTGAGGACATATATTGTAAAAGCACAAGCCGCCGACTAGTGGCAAAGAGCACTACGCCGGCCAGGCAAAGAAGGCACAAAACTGCATCAAAAGGCCCACCTCGACAGCAAAACCACAAAGTCCCAGCACAACCACAACATGTGCCAAGACCCAAAAAGCTCAGTCTGCAAGCCAGGAAGACCCCGGAACCCCAAAAGGCAGAACCGGGACACACGAGGAAACAAAGTCCCCTGAACCCACAAAAGGGGGCCCAAGAGGAAGAAACCTCCAGAACGAAACCAAGGAACCCAAAGGAACCCAGAATCGAACCAGGGGGAGCCCAAACCACCACATTTGCCGGCGGAGAACACCACTAAAAGGCAAAGCACAGACCCCAGCAGAACGCCCTGGGAAAACGGTCCCAACAGACCGAAAACCGAGGGGCAAGGTGTGGGAGCAAGCATACCAGCCAGGGGCACTGAGCCTAAACCCAGAGGCTCAGACCCAAAATCAACACCCAAACGTTCCCAGAGGAACAGGCAACGGCAAGAAAACACCAGAAAAACAAAGAAACGACAACAGGAGAACAAAAACCCTGAAAATTTTTTGAAAACTCACCAGAGACGCTCGCTCGCACACCCAGACGCATGTAAACAAACCGCAACGCCGCCCTGGTGGCCACGCCGTGAAACCGGCAGACGAAAATGGCCGCCAGCAGGGGCTGTGACTGACGCTAAATACACAAAAACACGCCAGCAAATGTGGGAAGCTAGCAGACTGGAAGGGCGAAAAACGACGCCCAACAGCAGAAAAACCCCTGAAGGGGCAAAACCGCCCCAGAACTGCTAGCAGGCAACCCCCACAGCCCCGGGAACCAACAACAGAGGCCCCGGGGCAGAGCCGTCCTCCAAGCCCTCCGCCCTGAAAGAAAAGCAAGAGTCCATGGGAAAGGCAACAAGAAAGGGCCGCTGGTAAGACCCAGAAGCCTTGGCAGGAGGCACAGGCTCAAACCTCCGTCCCCAACCCGAACGGGGCAGCCCCCGAAAACCGCCCGAGTCTCTGCCGCAACTAAACCCCGCCCCGACCCCGAAACCCGCAGACGGTCCGGAGCCGGGAACATGGAGAGAAAGGGGCGAGCAGCACCTAACCAAACGGGGCGGCCACGGGGCAGTCGAGTGGGAAACCAACCTAGCATGTTGCAACAACCTAACATAGCTTGCAACACGGATGCCGCCTGTACTCTGAACAGTAATAACATCAGGAGAGTACTGGAGAACAAGCAGAGAATCACTCGCAAGACTCCGGGTCAAGGTGTCAGTGACCCAACAGGCAGCATGACGGAGGTAAAATTGGCGACTGTCACCCGGAGACAAGGGAACAGCAACCAACGATCCCGTACAAGACGGGTTGGAACCCGGAAGACACATTCAATGGTCCCACGAGCCCAGACAGGGGTTTCCAGGGCCCGTAGGGTAACAACTACGGGAAGCCCGGGCAAGGTGTTGCTAACCGGTTAAGAAACCCAAACATAACAAGAGGGTAGATTATAGCACTGAAAACCCCTGAGACGTGTACAAGCACGGGGGCCTAGCAGAGGGCCGCCAAACACTACCAGTGGAACTAGAACCACCTTAGGCAGACCCCCACCAGGCAAGAAAATGAAAAACAAAAGAAAAACCCCGCAAAAGTACACCGTCTCCAGAGGCAACAGAAACCGGCCGCCGCTTAGGTGGCAGGCTGCGCAACACCTTGACGCCCTAACCAGCACAATACCAATCCCTACCCAGGGCCAAACAAGGGCCCCAAGCCCCAGCTGGCCCCAAGGGCGAGGCAAATGCCGAGCAGCAAGAACCTCTACGGGAATGGTTCCCGAACGCCCCAGGGAAGATAACCCTGTTACGCAAGGGCAGTACTCACAGGGCGCTTAGGGAAGGCAGCCACTAAGCACATGCAGCCCCGGCACTGATGAAGTACTCCTGGCCACCGCACACCACAACACACGGCAGTGAACGCCACACAAGGCAAACACCGCCTAGGAAACTGAGGCCAGAGAAGCGTCAATCCCGGTTGACATTAGCGAACGAACTGGAGCTTGGCAGCCGGCGCGGTAGGTCCGGGGCTCCCCCCTCCCCCTCCCGGGGTGGGGAGGGCTGCGCGGACGATCGGCGCGGCAGTAAAGTGTGATGTTTGCTTGTTTGCTTGTTTCCTTGGGATTGTAGGGAGTTTTCTACCTCTCTGTTCGGTTTTTGTTGTAGTTTCTTACCATGTGGGGTTTGTTTTGTTACGCCTACCTTTCTGGGTGCCTAACCCCGGTCGATGGCAGATAAGGAAAACCCCCAACCATATGGGGTTTTCCAGGGCCATTGCTCCCTGAAACCTCTCTGAAGGGGCCAGGTTCTGGCGCTGGTCCCTGGTAGGTCTGAACTCCTTAGCTAATGTCCCGGTCTAACATAACATACATTAGCCCGATAAGCTCCAGGGAGCCGTAGGGGCTCCCCACAGAAAACAAATAAAACTGCATTGGAAATACATAAATACATAAAACAAATAATTGAAAATATATTTGTGGCAACACCCAGTGCTTGTATGGCCCGTGCGACCGTGTCTGGGCGAGTCACACACGGGCGACCAGGCCCTGATGACGTCACAGCGCACCTTGTCCACGTCCCCACAGCCAAAGTAAGTGGAATTTGGTATTTATTTTTACATAGACATGTTCAGGGAAGGGAATTTATCATTTTACGAAGAAAAAAGAATTTTTTGGGAACACTTTATTTCATGCGCACCGGAAGAATTTCACAATAAACACGGCGCAGCACGGTGGCTAAGGAGAAAAACTTATGATGATAATAGGAGGGCTCAGAGTGCAATAATGTTAAAATGTATGAAACTCATAAAAGACGAACGAGTAAATTTTAAATGAAGGAGTGAAATTAAAGGAGAACGATAAACAAGTGGAATAATAGGATTGAAGACTAGTGAAAAGACGTCGACAAGAAGGAAACTGCAAGTCGTCCAGCTTGATAGTCTCGTCAGAAACATTAATGGTCACCAAGATGTTGACAAGAAGGAAACTGTAAGTCGTCCAGCTTGATAGTCTCGTCAGAAACATTAATGGTCACCAAGATGTTGACAAGAAGGAAACTGCAAGTCGTCCAGCTTGATAGTCTCGTCAGAAACATTAATGGTCACCAAGATGTTGACAAGAAGGAAACTGTAAGTCGTCCAGCATGATAGTCTCGTCAGAAACATTAATGGTCACCAAGATATTGACAAGAAGGAAACTGTAAGTCGTCCAGCTTGATAGTCTCATCAGAAACATTAATGTTGTCACAGACTAAATACATCATATCCAACAACAATAGTAAAGAATCATTATGTCAAATACAAAAACATTCTCTCACAATCATCTTTTAAAGAACCCAGTGATTACTGTTTTCAAAGTTTGTCCTAGATCTGCTACCTCTCGGTCTTCTACGTATATTAGTTCCTACTGGCATGCTACTGAACTGCATGAGAAAATGTTGAGGCTGTACCATGGGATCACACCCACATATCTACACTGCCGAGGCACACTCACTACCCACTGAACCATGATGGGCCCAAAAGTATCTCAACCAGATGTACTATCTGACTTCCATAGAGTTTACAAGGCACCATTCAGCACCACATGCGTGCCTGAGGAGCTAAGGGATGCAGATTTGATCCCATAGTACAGTTTCAATATTTTCTCCTAAGATACATCACGTCGTGATTTCGTTGTGCACTTAATTATAAATTTCTTAAGGTTTCTACAATTTTAAAATGCAAGAAAAAAGTAGAGCTAACTAACGTGTCGTCTGAACAGATCTGCGTGATTTGCTAAGGCAGAATCTGTGTTGGCAATGTGTGTGATGACTTCCTCAACGGTCCACTCGGCCGGGTCGCCACGGGGCCGAGGACTCTGGCCCGGCTCACTCAGCGAGGAGGGGGATGGCTCTGAGGGAGGGGGGAGGAGTATTCTCGATAATCTAATGGCTATCACAGCTACAATTACATTATCACATACTACCTTCATGTTGGGTATTTCTCATTAAATCTAATTATATCACTACTACAATTAATTGTTAATTTTGGGTATCTGCCATTACATGCCATTGCAAACACCTGTAATAGTCATACAATGCCTACATTTATCTTCCATAGTTCTGCAACACTGAATATACACATAAATTAAGCATCTTGATATGGGAAGTTAATGAGGAATTATCTAGATAAAAATCAAAGAACAGTTAATGAAAAGGAAGAAAAATGTGTAACTGGAACAATTCACTTCTGAGAACAAATTGAAATCTTACCATCAACAGAAGAACATCTGCTCTATCAACCATGCTCACATACCAATTTAATCCTTTTTCACAAACTATGATCTATTTCATAGACCTATAATATATTTCATAATTTCTCAAATTGTAGTTACATCTGTGCGTACACTACATATCATCTGTATCCACAACAGTAAAGACTTTAAATAAAAATACAATAACAAATAACATAACCCACTAGTGAAAGTGGCGACATTTCCTGTTTGTCGTGATGTCATGACCTGATGGGTCTAGGATGGACCGAATGACACCCATGTTCAGATATCGAGCAAGAGAGGCAGGAAACTAAGGCCGAGCTGGCCACCAAGGAGCTACGAGGATTACCATGCCAATCAGCCAAACAGTTCCAAATTGTTTTTGGAGAAACAGCCAAACCTAAAAGAAGAGATAAAGGAACCCTCTCTTTGACCACTGGAAAGCATCCGCCACAAACACCTCACGATCAGATAAGAGCCACATATTACAGATGCCGCAGGTTACACGTCGATTCCCGAACATCTTGCAAAGCCGCTGAAGGGACACGTCATTGATGGTTCATTCCATGGAAATGAGATGGAAATAAAAAGAGACCATCTGCAAGCATGCTGGACACATCACACACGTAAAATGTTCAGAGAACCAATCCCTGAGAAGCTAGACTATGTGCTACATGCAGCATCCAGCTCCAAAGAGGAAAAGACTGAAGTGACCCCCGACCCCCACCCCACCCGATTCAGATAATGAACTCTCCAGGGAGCAATCAGAATGAAGATGGAGAACAGAGCCCAGAGGGAGACAAACCTGCAGCAGAACCTGCCACATTGCTACAAACTTTCAAAGTGAACTGTATGCCCAAAGGAATGGACTCAATGACCACAAGATGCCTACTGACCGTTAAACACAAACCCCAAACCCAGCACTGAGGAACCTGTATGCACACAGAGTGGCAGCAAGAAGGCAAATTGGAACCAAACCCCAAAAAACCTAAAGAGGAAACTGGTGAAAAAGTTGGTGAAGGGTTAATGGAGCTCACACCAACGATCCTGGCAGTGACCAAAAAGAGGTAACTGGAGGAATGGAACACCACCAGGAGCCAAGCCCTGCATATGAGGAACACCACACATGCAAATTTCAGGTTCCTGCAAACTGTTTCGATTGACTGTCAAGTATTCATATGCCTTCCACACACTAGAGACAATCTTGCAGGCAGAGATGATCTTGCAGGCAAAGCAGAGCTGCCAGTAGCAAGGAAAGAGAATAACTGACTGACAATTCCAGACCACACCAACCAAGTCTGAACCCTGGACAGAACCAACCAAGACTTCCTCCAGTTCACCAGCAACCTGAACCCTGGTTTGCAGACACATGGATTTGCTAGAATCCTAAACCAGCCAGTAGTTGAGCTAGGTCAGACATGAGTCATTCTGTGGTTATGTCCTCCAACATCATCTTTAATCTGTAGAGGGTCCGGTCCCACTTCCCAAGCCCGATCCAGGGTCAGGTTTGACTTGTGAGATCTTGGTCCAACAGGCTGTTACTTGGAGCAGTCCGCAGGCCCACATATCCACTACAACAAGTGGGTCTGGCACTTCTTGCAGAAAACTGTCTAGTTTATCTTAGACTTCCATTTTTGCTCCAGCAATATTTCTCATACTTGCTGAGCAAATATTGAATAATTGTAGGCCCTTAATGTTCAAACAGTGTTCTCTGAATGTGCATATGGCACCTTTACTCTTCACTGGTTTTATTCTGCATTTCATTCCATATCGATCATTCCAGTACATGCAAATTTGGGACCTGGCCCTCCAGTATTTTCCATTTATATATTATTTGATACCTCTCTTGTCTCCTTTCTAGATAGTACATTTTGAGAGCTCTGAGATGGTCTCAATAGTTCAGATGCTTTATTGTCTATACACATGACATATATGTTCTCTGTATTCCTGCCCTGAAAGGGAAAGTGAGCATTAAACAGTACTCAAGAAGGGACCGCATAAATGACTTGAATAGTATGAGAACTGTGATGGGATCCGTGGATGTAACTTTTCCTGTAATCCATCCTATCACTTCTGGGGTGAGCCCTTTATGGCTCCCTGAAGCTACTAACTCTGACAGTGGCATACTATTTAATGCCATCAGTAGTAGAGTTCTAGTGGCCTACCTTTCACTCTACTTTATCTCTTATTCCTACTGATGTCATTTTATGGGCTATCACTCCATGGTTACATTTATTAAATGCATTTGCAAAGTCCGTGTATACCAGATCTGTATGATGGGATTGAATCCACTTCAGTATTTACTCATAGATACATCATGGTCTTGTGATTACATCATGCACTGCTGGAATATTATCTAAATGCAGCTGGAGAGCCGAGCCCATCAACAGAGAGAGGAGCTTCAGTGTAATCCATACTTCAGTCAAATCCCGAATACTGACGTAAAAATACAACAATGCCACAGACTAACGACCTTCATGCATTTGGTAATGGGTGGAAACAAAGCCCTACTCTCACCAGGCTTGTCAGTGAAGAGCTCAAGTGATAGAGCTGAAGGTCTCCATGAAACTAAGCCCCCAAAAGCACCAAAGCAGAAACCTATGACAAATGAAAGCCCCAAAGGCCAGCTGCCCAAACAAGTGATTCTGAAGGCAGCTGTGGGCAGCTGACCAAGTAAATTGGTTCAACCATGCCCAACCCAGAAGATTAATCATGCGAGCAGAATTGAGACACCTCCAGTATCGTTTGAAAGCCCAATGAGAAAGGTGGTATTTCTCACTGAACAAATGGAGAAAGGAAGCAAAGTGAAGCAGAGGCAGGAAGGAAATATAAACAGTCCTGGTGCCCCAACCACATCAGATGCTGTGGCTAAACAAATTTAAATTTTACCACATTCACAAGCGAGCAGAATCAGTCCCAGGAGCTTAGCTCTCATCCTGTAACTACACTTAGGTAATTACCTGTAAAACTGTCTTTATCCAGCAGGCAAAACAAATGACTGGCAGCTCAAACAAGCTAGTCATAAAGGTAGGCAAAGGCATTGACTACAATCAATGCTGTTGGAGAAGCATTCTAGTACGAGGTAGGTGGTGTCACCAACCTTCATCACCAGCCAATCCCTGAACTTCAGATGGATTGAAACATTCCATTAAGAATCCTAGATATGAAGCCACATGAGCTAGCTGATCTTGCCAGAGACCACCAACAACAGCCAAATTTGAGGAGCAGAAACAGGATTTGTATGGGCAGAATTACATAAGATCACCCACACTGCCCACAAGTCTGAATGAGACGTGTGTATAACCATTCTGCAGGAAGAGAGGAGTAGGCATCAGCCGTAATATGTGATCCAGCAGCTAAAAGAACAAATTTGCAGACACCACGGCCAACTGAATTTCCCTTATGGAAAAGAGAACAAAAATGGGAGAAGAGAACGACAGTGAAGAGGCCCAAGCACATTTCTGGAACCCAATAAACATACAGGCATGATTTGTAGTAACAGAGGTACCAGCTGAATCTCAGGGGGATCAAGATCCTAGCTAGGCAAACTTGGTGGTATTTTAACAGAGTGGGCAATAACATTTGGGAAAACATGGCAATATCCCACTGCATAACGGCCAGGTCAAATCTTGTGTGTCGCTGCATCACGCGGGGTTAAACTAAAAACTACCTTTCCTAAAGGCATTTACAACACTATGGATAAACTGCTAAGACAATTGTAAATATCTTTCTCATGTCAATAAATAATATGTAAGAACAATTGATACAAAAAGAAGCTTTGATGTATGTAAAAGGTGTGGAGGTGAATGTCAAGAGAGTACGGCAAGTCAGCAAAGTTGTGTAAGGTGAACAATACATAAGAGAAGTGACATGCATCACCATCAAAGACATAATTAAAGAGTAGTGAAACTCACCTTGTAAGATTGGTTTAGCAAGTTTGGAGGGAGTGACAGCATCAGATGGCTCGGTGGAAGCTGCTCTCTTTCCACCTATTGCAACTTGATGTGCAGCTTCTTGTTCTGTTCCAAAGTGGAAAACTTTCATTAAAATTATTTAACAAAAATTTGCATTTGCAGATGATGAGTCACAATAACACGGCTGAGGAATGTTGACCAGACAACACACTAGAAGATGAAGAGACGACGACATTTCAGTCCGTCCTGAACCATTATCAAGTCCATTGATAATGGTCCACGACGGACCAAAATGTCATCTTTTCATCTTCTAGTGTGTGGTTTGGTTAACAAAAAACCAGCATTGAATGTAACAAAATGCCATTTTCAGGGTGAGCCCCTTCGACTTCCTGGAGCTATAGGACTGATGTACGCCATATTAGTCTGGGGCTTCAGTCAATGGAGTCCTGCCTACCAGGGACCAGAGCTGGAACCTGACCCCTTCAGAGGCACAGGGAGCAATGGCTTAAGGGACCCGGTGACTGAGGAGTATTTTTCCAGATATGAAATACTGAACAGTGAAAATTTTTAAACAAATCTCCCGTTATTTGGCATCAGCGTCATGAAATTTTCATCCCAATATGTTAATAAATGGATTTTCTGTGGAGAGCCCCTTCGGCTCCCCGGAGCTATACCGGGCTGATGTGTATATACTGGACCATGGCAACAGTCAATCGAATGAGTTCTAGGCCTACCAGGGACCAGAGCCAGAACCTGGCCCCCTCAAGAGCTGGACGAGGAGCAATGACCTAAAGACACCCCTGTGTAACTGGAAGAAGTCTTTGTCTGCCATCTACCAGGTCAGGCACCCAGAAAGGTAGGAATTTCAAAACAAACTACTGCTGATTAAATAATTTGCAAACAGAAAGCCGAACTAGCAACAGAACTCTCCAATCAAAACCAAGGAAACAAGTATGACGTCACCACACACACACACACCGCATCCTTCTGCGTAACCCCCGCTCCCTGGGAGGGGGATGGGGGGTCCCAGACCTCCACGCCGACCGGAGGGAGGGAGGGAGGGATGCCGGGGAGCCTTCAGGTCTCGTCCAGAAAATGGCGTTTCATTACATTCAACGCTGGTTTTCTGTGGAGAGCCCCTTCGGCTCCCAGGAGCTACCTAACCAAAGATAAAGAAAAAGGGTGACGAACACCTGGGAGGTGTTCGTCACTCGCTCCTCAACTCGAAGTCGAAACAACTGGCTGCAACCTGCGACTCAAGGCTACACACGCCCGAGGAAGGCCAGGAACGTTAACGAGATACCATGGAGCCAGGACCCTGTTCGACCTCCAAAAGCCCCGTGCCCGGATGTCAACCCAGGACATATTCCCCAAAACAGCAGCCAAACGAGTGGGGGAGGGGGGGGGATGAATGGGAAAATGGAGTGGCAAACGGAGAGGGCCCAGATAGGACCTCTTGACTCGGGTATTATGACCAGTGAGGGTGGACTGTGACAAATGGGAGGGATGACCAAAGGGAGGGGGAGAGGGGAGAAGCCATGGACTGAGCACAAGATCATTACAAGCTGTCTAACTCCCAGGAACCTATTTACTGCTAGGTAACAGGGGCATCAGGGTTAAAGAAACATTTTGCCCATTTGTCTACCCCCTCCACCGGGGATCGAACCCAGAACCTCAGGACTAAAAATCCCAAGCGCTGTCCACCCAGCTGTCAGGCAGTTGGACATACAATGCTCCAAATCACATGTGTAATTCTATAGGCCATTGCTCCTCATGCCTTTCTGAGGGGGCCAGGTTCTGGCTCGTGGTCCCCAGTAGGCCTAAGAACTTAAATTAATTCACACTGACTGATGGCAAAGTCTAATATATCCATATCAGCTTGGATAGCTCCGGGGAGCCAAAGGGGCAGCCCCCCCCCCAGAAAGGAATTTCAACTTTGAGACACCTTTAAAAATATCAGTTTGACCGATTCTCACCATTTTTACATATTATATGCAAAGTTCTTTGTTCTAAGGAATTCTAAGGATTGTTTAGTCATAAAGTCATAATGCTTGCAGTTATAAATTTGTTGCATCTAAATTTTGCACATATTTGGATGGCCACATTGAAAAAAATGTTTTACAGTAAACTATACTCTCAACGAATATTGGTCCTTAGGTTAGAAACATGAACATTATATGCCATTTTCAGACCATAATGAATAAAATAAAAATTTGTGACAATTTATTATTTTTAAAGCTGATTTGAAATTGTTTTTTTTTTTTAACTTTTTCTGTTCATGGTATGATGTTGATCCATTAGGACAAGTTTGAACATTTACCATGAAGCTATTATTCACACAAAAATTGAGTGTTTGAGGAAGTTTCAGTACACAGTCACCAGGCCCCCTTAAGGAGACCCTCTTGTATTTGGGAGTATCCCTTGTCTGCCATCGACCAGGGTTAGGCACCCACAAACGTAGACATCCTCACAAAAAAAAAACAAAAAAAACTGAACATTGAAATAGAACTGGCCAAAAGAAAACAAAGGATACTAGCTAAGAAGCAGTTGTCATTCACCGCCACAACCGCAACATCTTCAACCGGCAACCATCTTCATCTTGTTCCAGCAACCACTGGAACAACCGTGGACATCTTCAAGACAAAACTGAACTGTTTTCTAAGAGAAGTTCCGAACCAGCCGGGCTGTGGTGGGTATGTGGACCTGCGGGCCGCTCCAAGCAACAGCCTGGTGGACCAAACTCTCACAAGTCGAGCCTGGCCTCGAGCCGGGCTTGGGGAGTAGAAGAACTCCCAGAACCCCATCAACCAGGTATCAAGCAGGTAGCCACTGCGCAGCATGTCCGTGCAGCCCTTCCCTCCCCGGGAGGAGGAGGGTGATCCCCCAGACCCACACACTGGCCCCCTCACACCTCAGTTTGGAGGCTGAGCATCAAAAACGAAACCGCCGATCGGAGGGAGGGAGGGTGCCAGGGAGCCTCTCACCCAGAAAAAGGTGTTTCATTACATTCAGCGCTGGTTTTCTATGGGGAGCCCCTTCAGCTCCCTGGAGCTACATAATCAAAAGTAAGTAAAAATAGGGACTTACTCGGGAGGCGGCCGCACCATGCGGATCAAATCGAAGACGAGACAACTGGCTGCAAACTGTGACCCAAAGCCACACACAAAAAACTGGGACCAGGAACATTTACCAATTAACAGGCGGCCAGGACCCTGTTCGGCCTCCAAAACCCCTGTGCCCGAGTGTCAGCTCATGACATGTTGTCAAACAAAGCAGTAAAGGCAGCATACTTACAAATGTCGTAGGCGGGTTCATTGTCTGAACCCGCGGTTCAGACAATGAACCTCCTAAGCACAGTCCAAAGAACTGTGCTGACTGTAGAGCCCCGAATGACCCGAACCCTCCGCAGCGAAGACCAGACGGCCGCAAACTCCCGTATCACACTGTGAGCCCAACGGAATGGCTGAGCCCACCATCCCAAGCCAGCCTAGTGAGCATGGGTTAAAAAAAAACAACAACAAAAAAAAAAACACCCCAGAGATGATGCGTATGGGAACACAACGAGCGAGGGTTCAGAGAGCCGCCAAGGCACCGAACCCTGAAAACCCCAAAGAGAAAGCCGGCAATGCAGCAACAGACACAAGGCCCACTGGGTTCGAACCCAGCGGTAGCGATAGAGGCGGACGGGATGTCCCAAAAGGAACCAGAACAGGTGCCGAAGCCCAACCTGACGGGTAAACCAGCACAGCGAAGTGCAAACTCCCACACAACTGCTCAGGCGACCGCCGAGTGACCCGGGACCGCCCCAGGAATAGCAGAAGGCGAGACTGCAACCTCCAAAACGCCGCGGAGCCTACCGAGATAGTTTAACGATTTTTCAATTGTTTGTTTAGAATGTTGAGGGAGTTTCTTGACTGTTTAGAGGCTGTGATCTCATTTCTAACCAAGCAGTGTTCTATTTTGTTTCGCTGATTTTATAGGTGTCTTCTCTTGGTGGTGGCAGACATGAATAAATTTACACCAAATATTTCATACATGCCACTGCTCCCTGTGCCTCTCTGAGTGGGCCAAGTTTTGGCTCGTGGTCCCCGGAAGGACAAATATGAACTCCGCAATCGATGGCACTATATCAGCATGGTAGCTTCAGGGAGCAACAAAGAACTTTCCCCAGAAAAATAAAATTCCTTGACAATTATTCCAATTAAGACGGTCATTTCTCCAAATATTATTTAATTCAAACAGAGACATTTACCTCTTTTGAACTGCGCAGGACTCTGGCGTGCACATTTTGTACATTGGCTCACTGGTTGTTGGGTGTAAAAATTTTCACAGCACATGAGATCTTCGAAGAGCGTTTCCAACACACTCCAAAAGTCCTCCACCTTATCCAAAGACGGAAGGCGGTGCGTCTCTGGCTCACCATCTACAGCAGCTGCAAAAGAAAGTATTAAAATATGGTAACCAATGTCCTGAATAAAGATAAGATTTCAATAGTATGACAAATATGTTGATAAATTTTAAACCACTTATTAAATGGATAATTGCAACCATATTTTTAACTGAAATCTATCAAATCCATTACGCTAATATAATGCATAATCATGAATACTCACTAATTACTCATCTAATTTGATCTATGCCAACAGATAGATGGATCCTCCCATTCTAAGTGCATGTATTTATTGTCTCTCAAATAAAAATGTTAACATTAATTGGCAACCAACTCATAAAGACTATTTAACATTATATTCAATAACCTCCTAAATATATTATACCTGTATTACTGTTTGATCAAGATTCATATTTACATTATGCTTGTTTTGGTGCAGTTTTCCCTCAATGGTGGTTTACTGCTTTGTTTCTGTTGTTAGTTTACACCACCAACTTACCTTTACCTTGACTGCTCTCAGGTAGACTACCGGGATTCATGAGACTTGGTGTGGTGGATGCAAGGTATGGACGTTGACAAGGTCGGATCTTTGTGGGAGCAAGTCAAAGATAATCTAAAAAAACCAGCTTTGAATGTAATGAAACACCAATTTCTGGGCGAGACCTGGAGGCTCCTCGGAGCTATCCAGGATGGTATGGATGTATTAGATTTCTGGCATCAACGTGGGTGGAGTTCTAGGCCTAGCGGGAACCATGAGCCAGAACCTGGCCTCCTCAGAGAGGCACGACCATTCATTCATTATAGCTATATATATACTACCCATCCATAGTAGCTATATGTACTAACCATTCATTATAGCTATATGTACTATCCATCCATAGTAGCTATATGTACTATCTGTTCATAGTATCTGTATGTAGAGCAGTGTATATTCAAGAGGTCCAAACTATGAGTAAAGATGCCAATACAAGAGCAAAGAGACCTAAGATGGGTAATGTCAAAGGTATGGGATTCACCCAGGATCTTATCAAGGAAGAAGGATGCTGGTGTGCAGAACTGAAGAGTATAGTACATGCAATCATTACACACAACCACCCATTTAATTATTGAAGCTCTGTCACTTCGTCTCGCTGCGCTACGTACTTTTGATAATGACTTTGCCATTTCCGTGAGGTAGTAGGGAAGTAACGGTCCGAGGATCTGGCGAAGCATCCACAAGAGCTTGTACGGACTCCCGCACGACACGGTTCAGACTGCCGGGGCCAAACTGCAGCGGAAGTTCTCCCACTCGGCCGCTGTCCAGGTACGGACCGCACGTACACCCGTGATTAACATGCACAATGACTGAAACACAAATTATCGACGTATGCATTTAACCGTTCTAACTGGCCATTTATTTAATAGTCTTTCAGACATTTACAACTTTGGCAAATACTTAAAAATGTTAAATGCTTGTCAAAAGCAGCACAGGAACTTACCTGAGGCACTTAATTTATGGACAGTTGAGGTATCAGGTTCAGTCACTGTAATATTTTGAGTATGGTGAAGCTGAATTGGTTTTGTCGACTCTTGTTTAACAGCACCTGGCACGGCCGAACCCGTACTGCTGCTGGACCCCAAAGATGAGGTTACTGGTTTGTGAGAGGATGACACCGACGGAGAAGTTGGTGGTTCGGGCGATACGGGTGCTGAAGGTAATGAGTGAGTCGGATTAATGGTAGATGAACTTATGGTTGCTACTGTACTGGTGCTACTGGTGGATGTCTCCGACTGACTAATAATGGCTGAGGTGGAATTGCTATCTGAACCCGCTGATCCTGCAGGGGTCTTCATGGGCGATGACGGCGATGATGACGACGACGACGACGACGATGCTGATGACGACGACGTTGATGATGCTGACGACGACGACGACGATGGTTTGGATGACGACGGTTTAGAGGGCAATGCTTTGCTTGATGAAGATAAAAGTTTAACTGTTGATGATGAAGATGATTTGTTAGCTGGTGTTTTAGTAGTTGATGATGGCTTGGCAACTGATGAACTTTGTGACTTGGAGGGAGTTGATTGGTGACTTAGGGTGGGACTGACGGGAGGCGGGGAAGGCGTCCGGTGCCTGCTGCGGCTCCCAGACTTAGTAGGTGAAGTTTCTGAACATGACGGGCTCTTCTCTGGGACTATTTCTGAGGACTTAGATGATGGTCCTGCCAGAGGAGGTGGAATATTTAACACGCGAGCCTTGTACCGGCTGCTCGGAGGACCCCCTGGAATGCAAAGAAAGAAATATATTAATATTTAACAAAAACAGACTCCCAAAAGACAAATAACATAATACAAATATTATGCACAGTAAAGCCCTGGTAAAGCTTTGGTTCCTTAACAAAGGAAACTTTACAATTAAACATTTGGAATGTAAAGAATTCAAGTCAGGGTGAAGCAAAGTTTTTGTCTAATCTATTTTTAAACAAAGTATTACTTAGTATTACTTCTAACAAACTATTTTCTATTCAGTATTTGTTAGACAATAATTAACTAATATCAAAGTAAGATAAAAGAGCACAAAGATCCTAATACTTGGTGATTTTCACCCCAGGGAAGTAGACTGGTCAAGAGAGGCTCCACACTGTGGAGATGAGACATGGCAGGCAAGACTGTGGACACTAAGCTCACTTCCTGTGGCAGCACGTCAACGACCCGCCAAGAGAAAGAGAAGGGATCTACCAGCTGTTCAAGACCTGGTGTTTACCCAAAATTAAGATTATGTATAGAAATTAATATATATAATGAGCCACTGGGAGCCAGTGACCACTGTGTTATTGCATTTGATTACATTGTAGAACTGAAAAGAGAGAGTTGTAAACAGGATAATACAGAAGATTGATAATTCAGTTGCAAGAGAGAGATTACAGAAGAGGAGACTTAAAGAGGGTTAGGGTTTATCTACACAAAGTTCAATGGGAGACATAAATGGAAGAAAATTCAGCAAATGACGTGATGGAACTCATAACACAGAAAAGAAAAGAAGCAATGGAACAGTTCATACCCCTCAGGAGGAAAGTGGACTAGAGGAGAACAGCAAATCCGTGGTTCAATAGATAGTGTAAAGATGAAAAGGAGAAGACAAAAAATCAGCATTGAATGTAACGAAACTCCAACTTCTGGGAGAGACCTGGAGGCTCTCCGGAGCTATACCGGGCTGATGTGTATTTATCAGACTGTGACAACAGTCAATTGATGGAGTTCTAGCCTACCGAGGACCACGAGCCAGAACCTGGCCCCCACAAAGAGGCATGGGGAGCAATGGCCTATAGAAACCCCCGTGTGGTTGGAAGGATTCTTTGTCTGCCATCGACCGGGTCTGGCACCCAGAATGGTAAGCATCTCAAAACATACCCCTATTCTGGTGAAAATATTGCTACAAAAACCGAACAAGTAAATAGAACTCCCCCTAAAAGAAACGAGCAAACGAGCATGACGTCACATGTCGCAGCGCTGCTGTCTGCACAGCTCCCCGTTCCCCGGGAAGGGGAAGGGGGAGCCCCAGAACCCCCTCGCCGGCTATCCATCCGTAAGTTCTGAGGCTTGATGTCAAAACACACGAAAAGCCGCCAACCAAAGGGAGGGAGGAAGGGATGTCGGGGAGCCTCCGGGTCACACCCAGAAAATGGCCTTTCATTACATTCAACGCTGGTTTTCTGGGGAGGAGCCCCGTCGGCTCCCTGGAGCTAACTACCCACAAAGGAAAACAATAGGGACTTACCTGGGAGGCGGTCGCTGCTCACTCCTGTACTCGAAGTTGAGACAACTGGCTGCAACCGCCGACCCATAGCGGCACAGGCCCGACTGGGCCCTGGAATGTTCACGAGGTAACAAGCAGCCAGGACTCTGTTCGACCGTCAAAAGCGCAGTGCCCGAATGTCTGCCCAGGACATGTTGCCAAAGATGGCAGCAAGACCAGCGAACTTATGAGCGTCATGGGCACAGGGATAGACCGCAGGCTGGCTAGCCTTAATTCTGCAGACCCACGAACAGGTTAGAAGGGAAAGCGGATCAACCCAAAGCACATCCCCCAGACACAGGAGCCGTGGCGCGCAAATAACGGCAAAGGCCCGCAACCAGACACATAACATGATGTACCCCTGGCCGAACCAACCTAGCATCAACAACCCAGAGACCCCTCCGGAAAGCAGCATTCTCATTCTTTGCCAGAAAAGAAGGAGACACAAAGAAAAGAAGAACCATAACGAAGACCGAAACAGCAGAAATCCCCACGCCAGAGGAGAGCGTGAAGCTCCCCCACTCGACCCCCTGAGGCCAACGCCAACAGAAAAAGGGTGTTGGAGAAACAATCCTGAACCGAAGGGACCACAACAAACCGAGGAGAAGACAGAAAAGCGAGCACTCTGTCCAATGACCAGGCCAGCTCTGGGGGCGCATGAGCAGGCCGGAGGTGAAACAACGCACGAGACAGTTTGTGAAATGGCGCAGAAGTAACATCAATACCGAAAGCAAGCTGAAGCGGCTCCACCAGCGCCGCACGATACGAGGCGATAGTGTTCGGCATAAGATGATGGTCCTGAAACAACCAAGAGAGAAAGAACAACACCACCCTAACAGAAAGCGAAGTACAACGACGAAGACGTAAAAAGAACCGGAAGGATCGCCAGGAAACTTCATACTGCCGCCGAGAAGAAGCCTGTAGGTGGGACACCAACAAGGAAGCCACCTGATCACCATAAAGATGATGATAAACTTGAGTCAAAAAGACCATACGCGAAGACTTGAGGAGAAGATCGAACCATCCACGTGACGCTCGGGTCTGATCTGCTGGAAGAGGCGGAACCGCGGGAAAACCTCCGGGTTCAGACACCGAGCAAGCAGTGCCTGAAACTAAGGCTGGGCCGGCCACCACGGGGCCACGAGGACTACTCTCTCTTGGTAAGTCTCCAAGCGAATCCAGAACTAGAGTAACAACTGAACCGGGGGAAAGAGGTACAGGTACCCCCACCTCGACAGACCCCGACGGCCCCACAGTCGGGGATGGGCGCCACATAAAGCGGAAAGGCGCCGCAACCAAGCCAACGCAAAGAGGTCCACCTCGGGGCGTCTGAACGTCTGGCAGAGCTAACGGAAGGAGGCGCCGTCAACCGTCCATTCTGTGGAAAGGGGAACGAAACGATACTGGCTGTCAGCCAGGACGTTGGACACTTCCCGCACATTAACAGCCAGGAAATCCAAACACCAAGAACTCAGCAGACAAACTCAGCAGACTCGTCTGCTGAGTTCGGCCGATTCTGCTGCTGAATCGGCCTTGGCTTACTTGGTGCAGCCGAGTAAGCCAAACAGAAGGGGGCCCACTGGTTAGACCTAGAGGCATTGGCAGAAAGACCGGACTCGAATGCCTCTGTCGCTACACCGGAAGGGGCATCTCCCAAGACCGCCCGAGTCTCAAGACCATCTAACCCCTGCTCCGACTCCGAAACCCTCAGACGTTTCAGGGCCGGAAGCAGGGGAGGAGGGGGGAAGGAGGACCAGAACGAACCACAACAGGGAAAGGATGAGGGGGTGCGGACTGAACCAAGGTCAAAGTGACCCCCACCCCAAAGTCCAGGTCCCTATAGGCAAAACAGGGCAGCCTCGAGGCATCCGGGTGAGCAACCAACCTAACGCGCTACAACAACCTAAAGCGCACATGCAACGCCTGCGCCGCCTGAACCCTTAGAACATCATCATTATATTGGGTAAACTGAGTCACTAGCAAGCAGCAGTACTCACAGGACTCCGGGTCGAAAGTATCACCGACCCAACAGGCAGCATGACGGAGGCAAAAACAGTGAGGGTCACCCTGAGTCAAGGGGACCGAGCAACCCTCGAACTCGCATGAAGCAAGGGGAAGGGACTCTGGGGACACATCCATTAGACCCACGCGTCCCCTTGGGGTTTACCAGGGTCCCGAGACGGAACTCATGCTCAGGGAATCCCAGGCAGTGTACTACTAACCGGCACCTAAAACTACCAAGCAACTGTCAAAAGCTGAATCCCAGGGACGTGTACACTCACAAGGACCTAGCAGGGAGCACCACCAGAAGAACCGTAACAGGTCATACACCAAGGGGCAAGGCAGACCCCTCTACAAGGCAAAAAGAAAAAGAAAAACAAAACCCCGCAAGAGGACAACGTACCCCAAGGAAAAGAGCCGGTCACTTTGAATAGTGAAAACAAGTTGCGCAGCACCCTGTGCCCTGTACCAGTGCAAACTGTCTCTTACCCTAAGGTAAACAAGGGAGACAAAACACCGAAGCACCCTACGGCCAGCCGAAAAACCGAGCAGTGAAACAGCCAACAGAGGCAGGACCCAAGGAACTTGTGGAAGGTAACCCCAAGCCCCAAGGGCAGTACTTACAGGGCACCTAGGGAAGGTAACCCAAGGCGGATGCAGCCTGAGTACTGTAAAATAACTCCTGGCTCACACCTTTGGAAGACAGCCACCACACTCGAAGCGCCGTGCTGAAAAAACAACTGGAGCCAGAGCACACGACCTCTGCCTCTAGCATAAGCCTTAGAACTGATGGGTGGATAGCCAGCGTGGGGGGTCTGGGGCTCCCTCTTCCCCCTCCTGGGGAGCGGGGAGCTGTGCAGACAGTAGCACAGCGAAGCGTGACGTCATGCTCGTTTGCTTGTTTCTTTTAGGGGAGTTCTATCCACTTGTTTGGTTTTTGTAGCAATATTTTCACCAGAATAGGGGGGTATGTTTTGGGATGGTTACCTTTCTGGGTGCCAGACCCGGTCGATGGTAGACATAGAATGCTTCCAACCACACGGGGGTTTCTATAGGCCATTGCTCCCCTTGCCTCTCTGAGGGGGCCAGGTTCTGGCTCGTGGTCCCCAGTAGGCCCACAGAACTCCATACACATGACTGATGCCAAAGTCTGACATTAGCATATCAGCCTAGTAAGCTCCGGAAAGCCGACAGGGCTTCCCCCAGAAAGACCAGACATAAAGAGTGGAGAAAATCGAACGAGCCATATACCGGACCGGACTGGACCAATCTGCTGAAAGAGGCGGAGTTGAGGGAAGACCCTCGGGGTTCTGACACTGAGCAAGCAGCGCCTGAAACCAAGGTTGGGCTGGCCACCAAGGAGCCAAGAGGACTACTCTCCCCTGGTAAGTCTCCAAGCAAGCCAAGACCTGGAGCAACAACTGAACCAGTGGGGTAAGAGGTACAGGTAACCCTACCTCAACCAGTCCAGCCGAAAGGCATCGACACCCGACGGTCTCACAGTCGGAGCAGGGTGCCACATATACTAGAAGATGCCTCGACCAGGTCGATGCGAAGAGGTCCGCCTCCAGGCACCCAAACGTCTGGCAGAGCGAACAGAAAGAGTCAGCATCGACCGTCCATTCTGTGGACAGGGGAATGAACTGGGACAGGCCGTCCGCCTGGACGTTGGACACCCCTGGATATGAACCACCAGGAGAGCCAAACCCTAAGAGCTCAACAGATGAGTCACCTGAAGCGACCAGCCCTAAAGAGCCAAGGACCGCATAGAACCTTCGCGGTTCAGACAATGAACCAGAGGAGCAGTCCAAAGGAGTCAGATTATCAATCTGAAAGCGACGCGAACCCTCTGATGGGAAAGCCACACTGCCGCAAAATTCAGCACTGTGCTCTAAGCCCAACGGAAGGACGGACCCCACCGACCCTGGCCTGCCTGATGATCACTGGTCACAAAGCCCCTGTGTAGAGATAACGCATCCGTGAACACATCGAGCGAAGACTTGGGTAGGCGCCATGGCACTGAAACCCGAAAAACCCGAAGAGGAAGCCGGCGATGCAGCAGTCGACGCAAAAGCCTAGGGGCCCAAAACCAGCAATCGTGAGAGCAGCAGATGGGATGTTCCCGAAGGAACCAGAGCAGCCACCGAAGCCAGATCCGACCCAATGAGTAGACCAGCATGGCGAAGTTCAGACGAAAGACAGAAAACCTCCAGAAAGAAGGAGTTGAGGAACCCAAGGGAACCCGGGGAGGAGCTGACCCCAAATTATATTCATACAGGGAAGGGTGGTAAGAAAACCCCTTCACCGGTCCTCGACCAGGCCTCCTGTTTGTTGCACATTCCCAGGAAGCAGCCCGAAGCAGCTGTCTAACTCCAAGGTACCTATTTACTGCTAGGTGAACAGGAGCATCATGGTGAAAGAAACTTTGCCCATTTGTTTCTGCCTCCACCAGGGATCAAAGCTGGAACCTCAGGACTATGAATCCCGAGCGCTGTCCATTAAGCTGTCAGGCCCCACCTTCCTTAGAACAAAATAGTATATATGAGTGAAGATGATGTTTTCTGCATATATGTACACATATATGCTTGTGTGTACACCCCCTTTTTCCCAAGACATGACAATGTGAGCAGTACAGTGGTTAACCAGGGTGGCTGGCTGATCATTATAATCACTTTATCCAGAGAACGGCCTGCTCTTTGGAATCCAAAAATGGTTTGTTTTGACTCGCTGGCTTTGTGGTTGCCTTCCCCAGTGAGGTGGCAAAAATATATTATCACTGCTGGGCCTCTGTGAGGGAACCAGGTTCTGGCTTTGGTTCCCGGTAGAACTATACAACTCCACAGCTGATGCAACCTAACAGATGATACCATCTTAGCTTATAGTAGCCTCAGGGAGCTACAATAGGCTACCCCCCAGAAAGGTGAGCCAAAAAGGAGGAAGCCTGAAGCTCCACAACAAATGCTAACCAGTCTCTAATCCTTGGATGAAGCAGGACAAGCCAGAACACGTCACGGGGGTCCAGCGACATCATCCAGGAAAAATGGGTAAATTTCTCGTAAGGTAATGTTTGTCAATATAGTAAGCAAATATTCTTTATGTATAAATAACCCAACCTATAAATATGACATTTGGTTCATCCTTGACCTTTATCAAGTCACTACAGTACTTGGTAATGGTTTAGGAAGGACCACAGTTTCATAACATATATATTTACGTATGCAACAATGATCACAAAAACACTGCTCAAAGTATGCTGAAAAACCACATTGAAAAAACAGAACATTCTGAATACATTTTCAGCCAGTATAGGCCTCCTTAGAGCAGGATAGAATATGAGTAAAGATGTGGTTTTTCTGCATGTATGTACACATGTGTGGGTTGGGTCATTTGTTTCAGCCACATTATTTGTGACCCATTTTCTGCAGCCTTATTATATTTGCACTTACACATCTGTCCTGGAGGTTGTAAGGGATGGCCAGACATGGCACACCAACCAACTGGAAAGATGTCCCGAGAGTCATACCGGCACCAGTAGTCAAACGCTCCTCGCCACCCATCGAAGGTCACGTGGATCATGTCACCGTTCACCGCACCTTCACAAACACAAAATGTCATTAAACACAATATCAAATTTAAATCTTGTTTAATTTAATGAGAACAATTAACTATGAACTTTAAATGGCCAATTTCTGAAGATCCCTCTATCCCATCTATTCTCCCCTGAGCTTACCTCAAGGCAACTATGCACTACATTATTATGTGTATATTAATTGCCTAAGAGTAGTTACAGGATGAGAACTACATTCTTACATTCTTGTAAAGCCACTAGTACGTGTAGCGTTTCAGGCAGGTCCTTAACCCTAATTTCCCCGGAATACGACCCCGCCGAATCATTTAACAACCAGGTACTCATTCACTGCTGGGTGAACAGAGGCTACAGTTAAGGATTGGTGCCCGGTCAATCCTCCCCGGCCAGGATTCGAACCCAAGGCAAGGCGCTTGCGAAACGCCAGGCGAGTATCTTACCACTGCGCCACGGAGACTATGCTCATGGTGTTTCCATCTTCCCATTACTCTTACACTTAAGAGTACTGGGAGTACTGGGAAGTACTCTGTCATATGATGATTTGATACTACTAATGGCTTTGGCCTCAACTGTCTTCTCACTTAACTTGTTCCAACATTCTACAACTGTGTTATCAAAAGCGAACTTCTGTATGTTTTCTCTACATCCTTGTTTCCTTAACTTGAATCTATGACCTCTTGTTCTTGAAGTTGCATGTTTAAAAAACTCCTCCTTGTCTATTTTGTTAATCTGCTTGCTACCTGTTTGATGGGGTTCTGGATGCAGTTCTTTTCAGCTGTTCAATTCCCGGTACTATTTTGCATGTAGTGATCATATCACATCTTTTCCGTTTTGCCTTCTAGCTTTGGCAAATTTAGCACCTTTAACCTCTCCTCATAGCTCTTGTTTTCCACTCTGGAAGCCATTTAGTAGCAGTCTTTGCACCCTTTCCTGTTTATTGATGAAGACACAGCAATTGTATGGGCACCATACAACTGCTGTGTATTCCAATTACTGTCTCACAAATGCTGCGAACAGTTTCTTTAATATTTCACCATCCATGTATTTAAAACCAATTCTGAAGTTGGAAAGGTTTTCAGAGCCTCATCACAATGTTCCTTATGTGGTCCTCTGGTGACAGTTTTATATCCATGACCCCCCCCCCATAGATCTCTTTCTTTAATGCCTTTTCCCGTCAAAAGGCTTTTGATAGTCACACACACACGAGAATATTTGGGAAGCTGGAGTATAGTGGAGGGGTGACAGGAAGACCTCTGACATGTATAAAAAGTTATCTGACTGAAACCCAGGTTGGTAATTAGAGACAATGTATCATATTAGAGAAATGTTAACAGTGGAGTACCACAGGGTTAAGTACCAGTACAGTACCAGTAATTTTCACTATCTATAAAAACTTTCACCAAAGAGGATATAAAAATATTTGTAGAAAACCTTTTTGTAGATAAAACTAACGTTGAATATAATGAAACACCATTTTCTGGCTGAGCCCCAGAGGCTCCCTGGAGCTATCGGGCTAATATGTGATACATTAGACCTGGGCATTAGTCTCCAAGGTTCAGCCTTCCGGGGACCACGAGCCAGAACCTGGCCCCCCTCGGAGAGGTGCAGGGAGAAATTGGCCCTGGAAACCACCCCCTCTTGTGGTTGGGGGTTTTCCTTATCTGCCATCAATCAGGGTTAGGCACCCAGAAAGGTAGGTACTGTGTAACAAAACAAACACCACATGAAAGAAAATTACAACTAAAAAACAAAAAGTAAGGCAGAACTCTATCCAATCCCAAGGAAACCAGCAAACATCACACTCCACTGCCAGGCCGCTCGTCCGCGCAGCCCTTCCCTCCTCAAGAAGGGGGAAGGGGACGAGCCCCACACTTCCCCACACCGGCTACCTAGCACTGTGCAGAAGTGTGTTGGCCGCACTTCAACAGAGCAGCCAAAGCCCAAGCCACTGAGGACAGCACACCAGACAAAGGCACGGCACTCAACGCCTCCACGTCCTCCTCAAGTCAGGCCAAAGACAGCTCGAAAAGGAAAAAGAAGCGCAAGACCGAAGCCAAATGCCCAGGGGCGTGCAAATCCTCTGCAACCAATGACTCCGAAAGGATTGGAACCTGCACATGAAGCTACACAAGGCCAACATCCCGAGAAAGCACAGGGACGAACAAGCATGCATTAAGGCACTCAAACTCAATTCTTCCCCCCCCCCCCCACCAGGTAAACCTGCAGAACGGTAGAAGTTTCTCGCTACTCAAGTTTGAGGGTCCAACAGAACCCATGTCATGCCTCCAACGAAAAGGCAGCCATGGGGCATCCCAGGTAGGAAACCAACCTAGCCCATTGCAGCAACCTGAACCTAGCATGCAACGCAGATGCTGCCTGTAGCCTAACAATAATGTCATCGGAATAGTACTGAAGAATAAGTAGAGACTCTAGGTCAAAGGTGTCGTCGACCCAACAGGCAGCATGGCGGAGGCAAAAAGAGGTGAATGTCACCTTGAGACAAGGGCACACAGCAACCTTTGAATCTGCACGAGGCGGGCTGGACCTCAAAAGACACATCCATAGGTCCACCGAGCCCCAATAGGGTTTTCCAGGGCCCGTAGGCTGACTGCTATGGAAAGCCCGGGCAAGGTGTTGCTAACCGGTTAAGACCCAAAGCTAACAAGGGTGAGATCAAAACACTGAAACCCCTGCGATGTGTACAATCACGGGGACCTAGCAGAGGGCCACCAAAATAATAGAAGTGGAACTATAGCCACACTAGGCAGACCCCAACCAGGCAATAAAAATAAAATCAAAAGAAAAACCATGTAAAATTACAACGTCCCCAGAGGAAACAAGAACCAGCCGCCGCATAGGGAGGCAGGCTGCCCAACACCTTGATGCCCTAACCAGCATGATACCATTCCCTACCCCAGGCCAAACAAAGGTCACGAAACCCCAGCTGGCCCCAAGGGCGGGGTAAATGCCGAGCAGCAAGAACTCCAATGGAAGTGGAATCCCAAAGGCTCTATGGTCCTGTACGTACTACCAAAAGGTAGTACTTACAGGGCACTTAGGGAAGGTGCATGTAGTGCATGCAGCTCCAGTACACTGAAGTTACTCCTGGCCACCACACCACAAGGAGCAGGAACATCATAAAGGCACAAATCCGCCAAGAAATCGAGGCCAGAATTGACGACCTCCCCAGAGCTCATCAGCCTATGAACTGGAGGTGTGAGTAGCTGGCGTGGGGGGGGGGGGAGACCGTGGATCCCCTCTCCCCCTCCCAGGAAGGGGAAGGCTGCGCAGACAAGTGGCACAGCAGTGGTGAATGATGTTTGCATGTTTGCTTTTTTCCTTATGCATTTGGGGGAGTTGTGTCTCTCTGTTCAGTCATCGATTCCAATTTCTTATCAGGTGGGGTTTGTTTTGTTATGCCTACCTTTCTGGGTGCCTAACCTTGGTTAATGGCAGACATGGAATGCTCCCAAATACATAGGGAGGCCATATGTGTATTTCCCTAGGCCATTACTCCCTGTGCCTCTCTGAGGGGGCTAGGTTCTGGCTCATGGTCCCCGGTAGGCAGAACTCCAATTGACTGATGCCCCAAAGTAATGTAGCGAATATCAGTCCGATAACTCCGGGGAGCTGGAGGGGGCTCCCCCCACAGAAAAAAATCTGCGCTCTCTCGAATGTAATTTACGCATGCTCATTTCTATGATTAATGTCATATAAATTTGATTCATTAATTTTGTTGGGTGCTTATAATTACTTAAATTGGGCTCATTGGCAACTTCAGATGGCCAACCAACATGGCACAGCATGTTGACATTTTTTCTCCTCAGTGTATCACTGGCAGCCAAGAGGGAAGGTATGACTTAGTCGCTCTCCATAAAGTTGCTTCAGGTTACTTTTTTCCTATTACATCATAAATTTTAGTCATATATAATTGTGAATAAACAGTTACTGAAATGGAAAACATAGTGGTAATATTTATTAAAACATAATTATGAATTAAGTCTAAAACATGCTATCAAACATAGCAAATAACTTTCACCAACAGTTGTAACACAGATGAGTTGGGGAAAATAAGTCTTATTGACAGCTGCTGCACAGATGAATTGGGGAGACTAAACCTTACCTACAGTTGCAGCACAGATGAGTTGAGGATTTTTTTTGTCTACAGCCTCCAGCTTCATGCCTACTTCAAAATTATTTTTTGCTGGTGTCGGTGGCTCTGTGCGAAATATATGTGGAGGCGACACTTCTGCATTGTGTAGAGTCTTCAGTAGGAACATTGGCCACGACGATGCATTCATACGGAAACCTGGGAAAAATTTTAAATGGATTTATTCAGTACAGTACTTTATAAATATCTACAAAAAATGGTAGCAACTATAACCATGATTATGCAGTTCATTTAATTTAGAATGATAGAGATTTAAGCAGAGTAGTTGCAAGTTTTATTGATGTGAGAGAGGACTCCTAAAAGATCTGCAGAGAGCCCAAAGGTCCTTTTCTGCCAGGGTATTGTGACTTATTCTTTGCATTAAACATTTATTACTAATACACTTTCATAATAATACATGCAGAATATTTGTACATTAAAATGGTAAGGAAAGTTTTTGCAACTGAGAACGAAAAGTGGAATAAAAGGTTAACTGTGTTTACCAAGAGGAGGCTGTAACATTCCACCATGTTCTTCACAGTGGCCGATGGGGTGTATCTCGTTGTTACAGTCCACAAGACGCCAGAAATCATTCTTATTATCCGAGCCGTCTAGCCTCAGACGCAGCCTAGGCCCCAATGTACCTACTACTGTAGCTATACAAGTTGATGTCAGATTTCGTGGGTCCAAAGCTTCAAGCTTCATTCCAATTTTGAACTCATTCTTTGGTGGTATCTTGTGCTGTAAGTGGTTCAAATATTACAGGTCCTGCTGCATAGATGCATCATTATGGAAACAATTACTGTATTTCAAAATTCAAATTTTTTTAATTAAAACAAAAGAGGAGGAGGAGGAGGAAGCAGAAAGATGCAGGAAAACAAGGAAATGAAGCAGAAACAAACAAGAAAGAGAAGGCACAACCCACGCCAGTTTAAGTGTCATATACATACAGGTTATAGGGATGACATGACACTACAGTCACACCACAGTTCTCACTATTACAAACTCTCTAAACTCATGCTCATATATACAAATTCATATTAAAATATAAAATTGTTTTCAGCAGCATGTTATGATACTTAACCTTAGGACAGAGAATATAGCAAAATGGTCATTCCTGCCTATGTGCAAGAAAGCAGCGTTGAATGTAATGAAACACTATTTTCTGGGAGAGACCCGGAGGCTCCACAGAGCTATCCGGACTGATATGGATGTATTAGACCATGGCATCAGTCAAAGTGAATGGAGTTCTTAAGCCTACCGGAGACCACGAGAGAGAACCTGACAACCACAGAGAGGCACGAGGAGCAATGGCCTATAGAAACCCACGTGTGATTGGAAGCATTCTATGTCTGCCATCGACCAAGTCAGGCACATAGAAAGGTAGGAATCCCAAAACAAACCCTATCTGGTTAAAAATTGCTACTGAAAGCAGAACTGTCGGACACAACTCCGCAAACTAAAAAACGAGCAAATGAGCATGACATCACAACCGTCACCGTGCTCTTGTCTGCGCAGCTCCTCCCTCCCCGGGAGGTGGGGGGGGGGGAGCCTCAGAACCCCCCTGCACCGGCTATCCACCACCAGCTCTGTGGCTGGATGTCAAAACCTTGAAAACTGCTGACCGGAGGGAAGGGAGTATTACCGGGAAGCCTCCGAGTCTCACCCAGAAAATGGCGTTTCATTACAATCAACGCTGGTTTTCTGGGGAAAGCCCCCTGCGGCTCCCTGGAGCCTACTTAACCAAAGATAAAACAAGAGAGAGACTTAGCCAGGAGGCAGCCGCCACTCGCTCCTCAACTCAAAGTCAAGACAACTGGCTGCAACCGCCGACCCAGTGCAACACACACCCGACTAGGGCCAGGAACATTGACAAGGTAGCGAGTGGCCAGGAACCTGTTTAACCTCAAAAAAACCCCATGCCTGAATGTCAGGCAGGTTTGCCCAAGCGAACCCACTCCAAGATGACCTGACTGAGCACAGGATAAGAGGCCTGCCCAGCCAGCCCCAAACCCCCCAGAAGAAGGAGGAGGAGGGGCTACCCAAAGCCATCACAGGCCACAAGAAACTACCCGAAATTCCCACGAATCATGGGACAAGGTATGAGCAAACAGTGCAAGCCTCCCCCCCCCCCTCCATTGCCCCATGAATGGGACAACCTGCGAAATGGCTGATGCCCCTTACGAGAAGCCGAAGAGCAGAGCGATCACTGCGCCAACCAGACATAGTCGGCACAGGGCTAGGAGTCCCAATGAAGGTCAAGGGCGAACAAACACGCATTGAGGCGTTCCAATTCGCCCCCAGGTAAACCCGAGCAACCATAAGAGCCTCTTGACAATCGAGCATGCGGGACCAACAGAACATATGCCACACCCACAACAAAAAGAGGACAGTCTGCCACCCAGGATGACTCTGGAACCTCATAACGCACCCTAGCAAGGAAAGGAAGAACCAAACTCAAAAGAGGCAGGATCCATTATTGACGCGTAATCTGGGTCACGCAGGATGTACGCCACAAGGGCCTCCCGCACCTCACGAGGCGGGATGCAGGAGGTCGAAAACCTTCGGAAGGAAGGGACCGAAGAACCCAAGAGTACCCGGAACCGAACCTGGGGAGAAGCTGATACCATATCAAACTTGTACAGGGAGAGAGGATAAGAAAACCCCACCCCCCTTTAACAGCAAGCCCCACTCAGAGGGTACCAAAACCCAAGCGGAGTCAAACGGGGCCCAAGCCCTCCCCTCCCAAGTCAGTGCCTCAAAAGAAAAGGCAGAGTCCACCAGAAAAGCAGGAAAGAAGGGGGCCAACTGGTCAGACCCAGAAGCATCGGCTGGAGGAACCGACTCGAATGCCTCCGTTGTCACACCGGATGGGGCATCCCCCGAAACTGCCCAAATCTCACCATCAACTAAACCCTGCCCAGACTCCAAAACCAACTGAGCCCCAATGAAGGGTTTCCAAGGCCCTTAGATGCTCTGCTAGGGGAAGCCCAGGCAAGGTACTGCTAACTGGCACCCCAAACTACCAAGCAAACTATTAAGTGCTGAACTCCTGTGACGTGTACACTCACGGGGACCTAGTGGAGAACCACCAAGAAAATATATATATATTTTCACCTGACTCACCCTGGGCAAGGGCTACCTCAAGTAAGAAGGACCTCTAAGGGAGCAACTCTCGAACACTCCCGGGGAAAATAGCCCTGCCAATGCAAGGGCAGCACTAAGAAGGACTCAGTGAATAGGGAAGGTAATCCTATGCACATGCAGCTCCACTCCCAAAACTAGGCTCACACTACACCACAATGTACAGGAAATGTCACAAGGGTAAACACCACCACTTAGCTGAACAAGCAAAACACCGGAGCCAGCACAGAAGAGAGGTGACTACGTAATTCAACAGGTTTTTTAATTATTTAATATTGAAAAGTAGCGCATAATTCAACACACTCCTGGGTAACATAATAGACACAGGGATGCTGGAGTGTTTCAAGAGAAGGTAAGAAACATATATGAATGAGTTATATATTATATAGGAGGATAGGATAAAAATAGGAGTTGCCTCATATGGGCTAAGAGACCTTCTGCAGGTTCCTTTAGTCTTAAGCTATTGAGGCTTAGCAGGACTGTGACATAGAGACACTCATCCCTTTGACACCTCAAGATAGGCAAGGCAAGTAGGGCACAAATAAAAAACTAATTTTTTAGATAGTTACCTGCTTAAAGCACTTGGCAGGAGAGGGGAGTGAGTTAGTGTCTGTGAGGTAGTCTTCCCAGGTGAACTCTGCAGCAGCTTCGATCTGGGCTAGAGCAGCGGCACTCACACCACGACCTGTAATACACAAACACACACACACAGGTTAAATCAGCGGCACTCACACCACGACCTGTAATACACACAAACACACACACACAGACTAAATCAGCGGCACTCACACCACGACCTGTAATACACGTGGGGCCTGACGGCTGAGTGGACAGTGCTCGGGATTTGTAGTATTTGGGTCCGGGGATCCATCCCCGTCGATGGCAGAAACAAATGGGCAGTTTCTTTCACCCTGATGCCTCTGTTTACCTAGTAGTAAATAGGTACCTGGGAGTTAGACAGCTGCGTCTGTATTTGCTGGAAAATACAGAAGCTGATAATCCTCCATAAATTGACTTCAGCTGCTCTATTAAGTGAAGAAGTACAGCATAGTAAACAAACCCAGCACTGAATACAGTATAATGAAATTCCCCTGTCTGAGTGGTCCCCAGAGGCTCCTCGGGCTACAAGAAGACCCCCAGAAAGTGGTGGCAAGTCCCCTTTCTGAGTGGTCCCCAGAGGCTCCTCGGGCTACGAGAAGACCCCGCCGAAAGTGGTGGCAAGTCTAAAGAAAGTTTCAGGCCAGACATGTTAATGTTATGTTATGTTAATGGATAATACATGTCTGCATGAGGGAATATGTCAGCCAAATCTAACAATGGAGTCAAACATCGTAACAAAACAAATAACAAATGATTATTTGAAAGGGTTATCAAAATGGTTATAACAAAAAGTTATATAAGAGTTAAAACAAAAGGTTATATTGAAGGGTTTTACACAGGGTTATAACAAAAGGTTATTACTCTTGTCTGTCCTATATAACGACAGAATACGAGCTGGGATATGAGCACAGACTATGAGGCTGGGATATGAGCACAGACTATGAGGCTGGGATATGAGCACAGACTATGAGTTGGGATATAAGGATAGACTAAGAACTGGGATATAAGGGTAGACTAAGAGCTGGGATATGAGAGCAAACTAAGGGCTGGGATATAAAGACAAGGAGCTGTGATATGAGGACAGAGTGAAGAAACAATGCCCAACCACCTGGACTGCTTGGGAGCGAACGCTGACCCCGTAAGAAGTGAAGCCATCACTGTACCAACCAAAGTGGATGGACAAATGCATAGGAAAGAACAATGAGTAAATAAAACATAGCAGAGGATAAGAAGAAGGGATTAGAGGTTAAGGGATGTAAATAAGGAAATGTAATCAAATACTGCAGACGAGGCAACCCACTTTCACCAATAATATACTGTACTGTACTTTGACGCCATAATCACCAACAGCCAAAGCACTAAGTACTGAACAGTGAAAAACAATGGGTCAAACAACCAGGTATTCTGCGTGGGTTAGTTAGGTTCAATTGGTGGCTTAGGTTCGCATCTTTTACTACCCAATTTTTGGTCCATTGTGCAACTCGAGGGGATGAGCCTGATGAAGATGGAAAAGTTTGGAGCTGTTAAAGAATCAAATGTGTAAAGAAGGAAGATCAACGTTGAATGTTATCCTGATAGACGTATGAGGATTGAACTTAAGATGCTAAATGGAACCTAATTATACTAAATAGATATTTTATTAACCAAAATATTATTTAACTATGGGAGGGAGAAATGCACAAAATTCACTATGGGAGGGATAACTGAAGCGAGGGAGAACGTTGCTTTAGCAGCCATTCCCTATAGGAGGGTGAATGCACAAAAATTCACTCAGGGAGGGGAAACACTCATTCTGGGAGGAAGAAATGCACAAAATTCACTCAAGGAGGAAGAAACAAAATTATTTTCTTTCTTCACTATCATAAGTTTACATTTGTCCACTTTCACATATAAGTCTTCCTTCACACATGTCAATACAAGTTTTCAACTATTCTACATTGAGCCTATAATGCAGTCAAAGCTAGTACGAACTGTGACGCATAAAGCCAAACGTTATAACTTGGTAGAAAATGCAGTACAAAAACAGTAAAAGACTGTATTGTCTAGGTACGTACAATATTCTGACATGCGCGTGCATTCTAATGATTCACATATAACTATCAACCAACAATCATTGCCAAATTTCACACTGTGCACGTTAACTGGTTATGGTGCTATATTTTTGTGCAAAGCTTAGTCTCATATTTTTGTTCAGATTAAAATCTTTGAAACAAGGGCATGAAAATACTAAATTTTGTGTCAAATTTGGAATGCTTTTAGGGTTCTCAATACCTCTATAATCTTAACCACTCTGAAAAACTATCACTGTCATGTCACCAAAACTATTTTTGTATAACCAGTAATAATTCTTCACAGCTATTCTAAAAACAACGTTAACACGAATCTCACAAGCAATAAAGCTTCAACCATTCATACCAGCAAGCTTCAGTACACGAGGAAATCACAAGAGTGTGATACGTCTACGAGGAAATATTGAAGTCATACGACGGGACAGAGCCCATCAGTATTTCTTACCAATAACCAGCAGATTGTCACTTGCATCTTTCATACTAGCCAACAGCCTCCAATCTACCTTTCCTACCCGCAGCCGCTTCCATGCCAAGAGCTTTCTCACTGGGAGACACTCCGTTTCCAGAGGATGGCGACATGCTCGACGGAGGAGTGGTCATGGACGAGAAAGACGAGGAAGCAACCCCAACTTCTTCTTCCACTTCAGCCTGTTCTTTCTCCTTTTCCTTCTTGGCCCAAGCCTTAAGGCACTCGTTGCTGCAGAGTTCTCGCCGACGACCAGAAGATGTCTCGCACTTCACTGGTGTCGACCGGATAACATTGTCACAATTGGCACAGGTACCCTGTTCAGTGAAATGAAGTGTATGTAATTTAGTGCTTTTGTACAAAATAGGCCTAAAATGTTTAAATAGTTTTGTTGAATTCCACATAAAATCTAAACAAATATCAAAACAGTTCACTAAATACAGGAGTAAGGCTGATTACTGATCATACTAGAGACAAACTAATCTAATAAAAATTACAAGATTCTTAAGTCATATTTATAATTTTTTATCAAGTCCTTTAACATTCTTACCAAAAGAACCACAATTTCAGAACTACGAATGAAGAGTAATTCCAGTAAATACCTTCATGAGGGCTTTTCTGTATTCTGATAGGCACATTTCCGAGCAAAATTCTCGTTTTCCTGAGCTTGTTGGGAACACATACTTGAGTTGCGACTTGACTTCGGAACACCATGTGCATGTGCGAGGATTTTTTGGAGGCCGACCTGGACCTAGAAAACAGAGTACATACTGTACTGTACTGAATAATGCATGGAATAAACTGAAAAGATGACTAATGAAATTTCATACTAAATATTTTAATTTGGGGAAAGTAACAAATACAGTACTTTGTACAAAAATAATAAGGACCTCAGAGTATATTCTTAAGACCTGAGACAAGTTTAACTTATCAATTGCTATTTTTTAAACAAATCTAACACCAACCAAGACCAGCCCAACCTAACCTAACTAAAAACCACCGGTGAATGTAATGAAACGCCATTTTTTGGGTGAGCCCCGGAGGCTTCCTTTAGCTTTCCAAACTGACATGTGCCGTATTAATTTGGTGCCATCGTCCCTCGAGTTCTTTGCCTACCTGAGACTATGAGCCAGCACCTGGTCCCCTCAGAGAGGTGCAGGGAGCAATGGCCATATGAACACTCTACATTTACAGTATTGTCATGTCTGCCATCGACCAGGGAATACCCCCAGAAAGGTAGGCGAAACAATACAAACCCCCAACTGGTGAAAATTGCAACCTATATATGAACAGAGCCAAAGAACTCCCCCCCCCAAAGAAAACAAATAAACAAGCAAATCATCATCCAACTAGTTAAAGGGGGCAGGTGACGCCCACTCAGATGAGCCGGCAGCTCAACCCTACAGTTCGTGGAATGATGAACACTGCCGACCGGAGGGAGGGAGGGTTTCAGGGAGCATCCAGGGCTCCCCCAGAAAATGCAGTTTCATTACATTCAACGCTGGTTTTCTGTGGGAAGCCTTATCGGCCCCTGAAGCTAACTTCCCACAGATAAGTAGAAGAGGGACTTACCCGGGTGAAGCAGCACTGCAGGTTTCAAGAAGAAGATGAGACAACAGGCCACGACAGACGTCCAAACGCAGCACAAAGCCAGATAATGCCCGGAACGTTGACAAGAAACCTGGCGACCAGGACCCTATTCAACCTCCAAAACCCTCGCACCCAATTGTCACCCCAAAACATATTCCCAAACACAGCAGTGGGAATAGGTCCTCACATCATGGGCACGAGGGTAGACCACAGACTGGCTAGACTTTATGTCCCTGCGGACAGCATGAGAAACACGAGCCCTGGAATAGGGAACAGGGAAACCGGAGCCACTCAGAGGGCGTCCACAGGCACACAACCAGTGGCCCGCAGGTAGCGACGTAAAGCCGCCACCGGACATAAGACACGATGCACCCCCGGCCTATCCAACCAAGCATCCACCACCAACTGACTCCTCTGGAAGCCAGCAGTTTCATTCTTTGGCTGAAAAGAAGGAGAAGGCTGCAAACAAACAAAACGTCTAACAGGGCCAAAAGAGCAGAAACCCCTGCACCGGAGAAGAGCATGAACCTTCACAACCCAACATGCAGAGGCCAAAGCCAACAAAAACAAGGCTTTCAGAAAACAAACCCGAACGAAAGAGGCCACAACAAACCATGGGAATGAAAGACAAGAAAGCACCCGGCAAAAAGACCAAGACGGCTCAAGCGGAGCATGAGCAGGCCGGAGGTGAAAAATTGCATGGGAGAGCTTGCAGAATGGAGCAGAAGTGACAACCACCCCGAATGCAAGCTGGAGCGGCTCCGCCAACGCTACACGATAAGAAGCAACAGTATTCGGCATGAGATGCCATTCCGGAAAGAGCCAAGAAAGGACAAAACACCTTCACAGACACTGACAACACCCACCGAAGGTAAAGGAAATGGCGGAAAAACCACCAGAAGACCTCATACTGTCGCTGAGATGAAGACTACAGGTGGGACACCATCAGAGAAGCCACCTCATCACCAAACACGTGGCGATATACCCATGTCAGAAAAAACAGACTAAAGAGCGAAGCGACAAGCCCCAAAGAGCCACCGACTGCAGAGACCACCCCCATGTTTGAGACAAGGAACCATTGGGGCACAATCAGAATGGAGCCAGATCAGAGAGCCTCGAGGAAGCTGAATCTGCTGCAATGCCAGCCACACAGCCGCAACACCCCCATCGTGCTGTGAGACCGACGGAAAGACGGAGCCCAACGACCCTGGCCAGCCAAATGAGCGCCGGTCACAAAGCCCGAGCCGAGAGACGAGGCATCTGTGAACACATCGAGCACGGAAAGGGAAAGGCACCATGGTACCAAACCTCGGAAACCCAAAAAGGAAGCCGGTGACACAGCAACTGACGTAAAGACACTGGGGTGCAATCCCAGCGGTCATGAATGGCAAAAGGGGCTTCCCCAAAGATACCAGAACTGTCTCCAAAGCCAAACCCTGCCAGCGTTTACACCAGCAAGGTAAAGATCAGGCTCCCGCACAATTGCTCGAGCAACCGCCGAGTGACCCGGGCCCCCCACCTCAAAAACAGCTGAAGGCGGAACTGCAACCAACGCCTCAGGAGGGAGAAAGAGACGGACACAGTCCACGAATCCCACATAAGGCCCAGCCAAATCTGAACCTTAGAAGGAACCAACTGGGACTTCAGTCAATTCACCAGGAATTTGAACCCGAAAACACTTTTAAATCTTGCGTGGTACTTTAAAATGTATATATGGGACACGGTGTGTGCCATTCTGCTACTTATACCAAAATCATACATATATACAATTTGCACAGTTTATGGGATAAACAAAACCGGAACCAACACAGGCAAAACCGGATCTCACTGGAGGCATGCGCCAAAAGCTTTCCAAACCCCTCAAAGGGAAGAGGGGTTTTTCTTCCTCCCTTTCCCGAGAGGAAGAAACCCTCCGAAAGACGAATCCAAGGGACCCAAGTGCAAAAGCAAACAAACCCAGGGGGAGCCCTACCTACCACATTTGCCAGCGGAAAAGACACACCACTTGAATGAAGGTTCATTAGGTGTTAATAATGAAGAAGTGATTTCTGATATAACCCTGAAAAAACAGCTCCACGGCTAAAACGGACAGGATATCAAGTGCCGGAGGCTAGGGAGCCAGACGAGTATACAGGGCAAGGTCACCAGGAACAAAACCGGTGCCCAGAAGAAAACAACCCAATGACCACAGTCTGTAAACACAAGACCAGGAGACATGACCACCACCCAAAAGTCTCCAAGGGAACATACAGAGTAGGACGCCTTGAATATAAAGAAACAAGACAAAATGGCATGCAGCAGCTGGAGCGTAACCATGGTTGGACACATGTAAAGTACGTACCGCAGCAAAGGTGTCCTGAAGAATGGATTGAAAGCAAACACCATTTACCAAGGGCGATAAAAGTAATCCCAAGAACTAAAACTTCCCGAGGAAAAGTCGTGTCATTGCAGACAAGACAGTCCAGGAAAAGATGGACTACTCAAGATAAGTAGAACACCTAGAAAGGGACACCAGAGGCAACCGAGTACCCAAAGGAGCCACAGAGACAAGAAAACGAACTTGCCCAGAGGCAGGAGGAAAGAAAGGGAATGCAGGAGGCAGAGCTGAGGTGAAGGCAACAAACGGAGAACCGCAGGAGCTCCAGAAGCACAGAAACATGAACCACAGGAAAAACACGGGGAAGAGGAGAGCCCGAAGAGCCAAAGCACGACCCCCGCAACTACAACAAGAGGAGCACAGTGAGATAAGGGCAAACTTACCCAAACAACCAATGACACCACAGCAGGGATGCAGGAAAACATAGCAATCAACACACCTCCCCCACCCTTAACAAAGCAGACATAACCTAAACCAGAGATACACTCAAAGGAACGAGTCCCCAAGATGAACAAGAGTGCATGAACTAATTGAAAAATGCCCCAAAAAGTGAGCACAAATGCTCAGTAGCCAAATGTAAGCACAACCAGCAGTGCCTCCCAGCAGACGGACTCGGAAGCACTCCCAGGAGAGCAAAATGGCTGCCAAAACAAACAACTAAACCTGAGCAAAACGTCCAAACCAAAGATGAACGCGCCTGATGCAAGGGTGCGTAATTCACACTGGCAAATATGGTAAACCAAAGCAGAAGAGGAGGAGATGAAAACCCCCCACCACCTAGCCCCAAGAATTCTTGACACAGGCCCTGGGGCAGAACCCTCATCCACCCTTGAAGAAAAGCTTTAAAGAGAGGAGTCTGCTGGACTGACTCTGAAGCCTCGGTGGGAGAATTGGGCTCATCCTCCATCCCCGAATTGGAAGGGACAATCCACGAAGCTACCCGAGCCTCATCCCAAGCAAAATCCTGCCTCAAACCCGAAACCCTCAGACCTATGGGAGTCGGAATGTAGGCGAGGAAGGAGCAGGGCAAACCACACCCACCTGGGACGGAAGCAAGGGTGCCGACTGAACCACAGTTGAAATAATCATTGCCCCTAAATCCTGGTCCCTTAAACCCAAGCGGGGCAGCTCCGGGGCTTCCAACTGGGCAACCAACCTGGCTAATTGCAACAAAGAATACTAAGCATGCAATGAAGCCGTTACCTGACTGATCTTTAACATCCCCAGACAAGAAATGTGTGAACTGAATAACAAGCGGAGAACAATCCCGCAAGAATCAGGGTCGTAGGTGTCACCGACCCAACAGACAGCATGATGGAGGCAGGGGGCAACAAACAACCATCAGCAACATACAGGGTGAAATAGGGCTCAGAAGACATGGTACCCCGGAACCCAACGAGGTTTTCCAGAGCCCCTTAGGATACGTTAACCCTACGGGAAGCTCAGGCACTGGGGCTAGCTATTCCTGTAAACGTTGCCTGTTGCAGGCAAACTGACAACCAGAAGTTGCCTTAAAACCTCGGGGCAACAGAAGAGGAACACCAATACAACTTAGGCTGGCCTAATGGGAGAATAGGTAGACCTCCTCCACCAAAGTCAAGCAAATACGCTAAAAACTAAGCAAAACAAAAGCCACCAAAGCAACACACAAATCAACCGGTTATCAGTGAAAATCGTCAGCCACTGCTGAATGCACGCTGCGCCGGCTGAAGTGCGCTCCGCCCAGCAAAACCCAACTCCATACCCAGGGCAAGACGGGAAGCCCAAGACCCCTGACGTACCTCTATTGCATGAACAACGCCAAGTGATAAACCCCTCATGCGGAAGTGAGACTCAAACGTCTCAGAGAAGATAACCCTGAAACACAAGGGAAATACTTACATAATACTGGCACCTAGGGGAAGGTAGCTCTAGGTGCATGCAGCCCAGCATACAGAGAACATCTGACCACCACACCACACACAGCTAGTAAAGCCATAAATGCAAAAGCCAGTCAGGAAAGTGAGGCCAGAAGAGACTTGTTGACACCAGGCACATCAGTCATGAACTGAGGGGTGAGCAGTCGGTTCGCCCGAGCGGGCTCCCCCTCTCCCCCAAAAGAGGAGAGGGGGAGCCCCTCTCGAGGAGGTTCAGTCCCCCCTTCTTCCCTTTTGGGGGAGAAAGGGGGGGGGTCGCTAACGAGCACGTGCGCTAATTAGATGACGATTTGCTTCTTTGTTTTGCTCTAGGGGAAGTTCTTTGGCTCTGTTCATATATAGGTTGCAATTTTCACCAGTTGGGGGTTTGTATTGTTTTGCCTACCTTTCTGGGGGTATTCCCCGGTCGATGGCAGACATGACAATACTGTATTCTATATGTAGAGTGCTCACATGGCCATTGCTCCCTGCACCTCTCTGAGTGGACCAGGTTCTGGCTCTGGTCTCTGGTAGGCACAGAACTCCAGGGACTGACGACACCAAACTAATATGGCACATGTCAGTTTGGATAGCTTCATGGAGTTGACGGGGCTCCCCACAAAAAAAAAATAGTTATATTTGATATATGGCATGCTTGAGCTGTATGACATCACTGTGTTGTCATAATGTTCATGCAGGAACAGGTTTTGATCCTATCGTAGATATATGAGGTCAAGAACCGACACATGAACAACAATATACAATACAGTACAGTAGTTAAATGTGCACTATGGGACTTTTCTGTATCAAATCAAGAGTTAGCACCACCCAGCCAGAATGACAAAGTTCAATCTGTTAGCACACCACTGTGGCCCAGACAATCAACTCATACCACCAGCACAGCTTCCCACTGAAAGCTCTCAGTAACGTAATGATGTGTCCCAAACACCCGAGTCTCTCCACCACCACAACACCTGAGTCCCTCCCCCACCACAGCACCTGCTTGATACCTGCTTGATGGGGTTCTGGGAGTTATTCTACTCTCCAAGCCCGGCCCGAGGCCAGGCTTCACTTGTGAGAGTTTGGTCTCCTCAGTCTGAGTCTCTGAGTCTCACCTGAGTCCCTCCACCCAACTATTCTGGTGTTGGTAACTGTCACTGTGGTACAGAACCCCTTACCTCACCCTGGTGTTGGTAACTGTCACTGTGGTACAGAACCCCTTACCTCTACCTGGTGTTGGTAACTGTCACTGTGGTACAGAACCCCTTACCTCACCCTGGTGTTGGTAACTGTCACTGTGGTACAGAACCCCTTACCTCACCCTGGTGTTGGTAACTGTCACTGTGGTACAGAACCCCTTACCTCTACCTGGTGTTGGTAACTGTCACTGTGGTACAGAACCCCTTACCTCTACCTGGTGTTGGCATCTTGCTGTGACTTCCTCAATGTGTCACCATCACTGAGACTGCCAGGCCTCTCAATGTATCACCATCACTGCCTGTAAACAAAATTACAACACATAAACATAAGGGCAAACAAGACAGGTATCTCAGAATCTCTCTCAATATATTCAGTAGTGTATTGTTTGTTGTATTTAATAAATCTAACATTCAATGTGCCTCCCCCACCTAACTCTTTAACCCTCAGACAACGGTTATCGTCAGTGATGTTGATTCACGTCATATGTTGATCTATATGTTCATTGTTATAATGATAAGCAGTCCCCGTTGGACAGTGGTAAAACACTCGCCCGATGCTTCGCGAGCGCTTTGGCCGGCAAGAATTGACTGGGTGCCAATCCTTAATTGTAGCCTCTGTTCACCCAGCAGTGAATGGGTACCTGGTTGTTAAACGATTTGGCGGGTCGTATTCCGCGGGGGCAAAATTAGGATTATGGACCTGACTCAAAACACTACGCATGCTAGTGGCCTTACAAGAATGTAAGAACTCTTGTGTGTATGTGTGTGCAGCCAGGGAAACATGGAGCAGCCTACCTGACAAACACCGAACGAACCTCTTGCTATACAATAAATTAAAAAAAATTTAACAAATTTGAAAAAAGAAAAATGTCATAAAGGTTTGTTCAGTGTAAGGTAGGCTGCTCCATTATTTAAAACATTGAATAACATATTGATGTTTTTCACTCCCTCCATGCCGGCTCGCCAACATCGTCAACCAGCATACTACCATTCCAGCCTGCCTGCTTCTGATTGGTGACCGGCCGACTGCACACCTGCACCTCTGCACCTCAGCGCCCTCTACCAAGTCGATGTCTGGGCTTGAACCAGCCATTGAAGTTAGAATATCCTTGTGCTCTCAAGCTGTGAACAACCAACTGATATACGCTCTGTTTATTGGTGGAGGTTCTCAGCTAGCGCTATATTCTCAGCACCTGTTTATTCATTCTTTTGTCTTTATTTTATGTGTAGAGTAATGCCACCCTTGTTCTTAATTTTTATGTTATATATTTTTTGACTTGTTTGTTTGCACTGTACAAATCCAAGGGATTCTCTTTCTTTAAAGTTAATTAAAGTTTTATTGTTCATACTATGTGTTTTGTGTGTCTTCCCTTACTTTACCACAGACAACAGCCAAGCAGTCGATCTTTTTTTTCTAAAATGTGATAGGCATTGATACCAGCCATTAGGAGGACTGCCGAACACCTACACTTCTACACTTTCCCGTCACAGTGACAAAGTCAGAACACAAATCAATGGGTATAAATTGGGTATGAGAACATAAGAATGGAAGTAACTGCAGAAGGCCTATTGGCCCATACTTCCTCTTGCTGTTTCTATGTTGGTTCTTGGTCTTGAAGTGGGTCGAATATAGTTGTGCATTAATTGGCTTTTGATTGCTGGTGTAGACTTTTTTATATATAGTGCCTCGCTGATGTCGAGTCTCGTGCTATCACTGTATTTATCAATGACTTCTTTGGTGCTTGTTAAGATTTATCCGGTGATGGTCTGGTTGTGAGAAGAGTTATGTTCCTTGATGGAGCCCTGTTACTTCTACAGTTACTTCCAGATTGCTGGTACTTCTAATATGGATGAAAAAATTTCTGAGTGATAGAAAAATGAGGGCAGTAATCAGAGGCAATGTATCGGACTGGAGAAATGTCATAAGTGGAGTACAACAGGGGTTCAGTTCTTGCACAAGTGATGTTTATTGTGTACATAAATGATCTACCAGTTGGTATACAGAATTATATGAACATGTTTGCTGATGATGCTAAGATAATAGGAAGGATAAGAAACATAAGAACACAGGCAACTGCAAGCCTATTGGCCCATACGAGGCAGCTCCTATTTATAACCACCCAATCCCACTCATATACATGTCCTAACCACACTTGGTTAGGACATGTATATGGGAGGGGACCCCACCTCCACTACGTTTTGTGGTAATTGGTTCCATAAATCAACAACCCTGTTACCGAACCAGTATTTACCCAAGTCTTTCCTAAATCTAAACTTATCCAATTTATACCCATTGTTTCGCATTCTGTCTTGTGTTGATACTTTTAATACTCCATTAATATCCCCTTTGTTATGTCCATTCATCCACTTGTAAACCTCTATCATGTCACCCCTAACTCTTTGCCTTTCCAGTGAATGCAATTTAAGCTTTGTTAATCTTTCTTCATATGAAAGATTTCTAATTTGGGAAATTAACTTCGTCATCCTACGCTGGACATGTTCAAGTGAATTTATATCCATTCTATAGTACGGTGACCAAAACTGAACTGCATAATCTAAATGGGGCCAAACCAAAGCAAGATATAGCTGAAGAACAACACTAGATGTCTTGTTACTAACGCTTCGATTAATAAATACCAGTGTCCTATTTGCCTTACTAAGAACATTCATGCATTGATCCTTTGGTTTTAAATTCTTACTAATCATAACTCCCAGATCCCTTTCGCAATCCGACTTCGCAATCTCATCGCCATCCAGCTCGTATCTTGAAACTCTATCATTACCTAGCCTTAAAACTTAACATTTATCAGCATTAAACTGCATCTGCCAATCTTTTGACTATTTCAAAACCCTATTTAGATCAACTTGAAGTGATAGTTTGAAGTGACAATCATCAAACTTAGATGATTGTCATGCCCTTCAAGAAGACCTGCACAAAATAAGTATATGGAGCACTACTTGGTAAATGGAATTTAATGTGAATAAATGCCATGTTATGGAATGTGGAATTGGAGAACGTAGACCCCACACAACCTATATATTATGTGAGAAATCTTTAAAGAATTCTGATAAAGAAAGAGATCTAGGGGTGGTTCTAGATAGAAAACTATCACCTGAGGACCACATAAAGAGCGTTGTGCGAGGAGCCTATGCCATGCTTTCTAACTTCATAATTGCTTTTAAATACATGGATGGCGAAATACTAATGGAGGGGGCCTCGTAGCCTGGTGGATAGCGCGCAGGACTCGTAATTCTGTGGCGCGGGTTCGATTCCCGCACGAGGCAGAAACAAATGGGCAAAGTTTCTTTCACCCTAAGTGCCCCTGTTACCTAGCAGTAAATAGGTACCTGGGAGTTAGTCAGCTGTCACGGGCTGTTTCCTGGGGTGTGTGTGTGTGGTGTGGGAAAAAAAAAAAAAAAAAAAAAAAAAAAAAAAAAAAAAATAGTAGTTAGTAAACAGTTGATTGACAGTTGAGAGGCGGGCCGAAAGAGCAAAGCTCAACCCCCGCAAAATCACAACTAGTAAACACTAATGAAATTGTTCACGATTTTTGTTAGGCCAAAGTTAGAATATGCAGTGGTTGTGTGGTGCCCATATTTTAAGAAGCACATCAACAAACTGGAAAAGGTGCAAAGACATGCTACTAAGTAGCTCCCAGAACTGAAGGGTAAGAGCTACAAGGAGAGGTTAGAGGCATTAAATATGCCAAAACTAGAAGATAGAAGAAAAAGAGGTGATATGATCACTACGTACAAAATAGTAACAGGAATTGATAAATCCGATAGGAAAGATTTCCTGAGACCTGGAACTTCAAGAACAAGAGGCCATAGTTTTAAACTAACTAAACAAAGATGCAGAAGAAATATAAGAAAATTCACTTTCACAAACAGAGTAGTAGACGGTTGGAACAAGTTAAGTGAGAAGGTGGTGGAGGCCAAAACCGTCAGTAGCTTCAAAGCGTTATATGACAAAGAGTGCTGGGTAGACGGGACACCACGAGCGTAGCTCTCATCCTGTAAATACACTTAGGTAATTACAACTCTCACAACACTGTGAATGCCACGTCTTTTTCCAAATTTCTCAAACCATCCCCTGCTCACCCGAAACTCTTTCGTATCTGCATCACTTGTTCCAGGGGTTTTCTCTAAAAGGTCTTCATCCAATAGCCTTGCTTTTTCACAAATGATGGCCTCTGAAATGCTAACATCTGCTTGTTGTGTATCCAAATTAATAACAACTTTTCAACATCCTCAAGTGTTTGTGTTCTTTGTTTCGTGATTGTTGAGACGCCTTTTGCCACTTTAGCACTCATAATGTCCTTTTTCTTAGCAATTACAGTGTTTATCATTGACATAGATTTGTTGTACTGCCCAGCTAGTTCAACAACCCGTGTACCATTTTCATGTTTATGAATGATCTCTTGTTTTTGCTCAATGGTAATTCTCACATGTGTTTTCTTAGGTTGAACCTTACCACTGACTTTCTTGGAATCCATAGAGTGATATATAATAATTACTTTTATGGTAAAAACCCCAAAAAGTTGAAAAACAATATAATTCTTTACAAAGAATTCAAGCACGATCGTCACTAAGCGGGAGGCACTGGTAAATTGAAGCGCGGGCGACCGTGCCACCAGAAACCACGCGCTAGGTCGCCCATATGCATATTTATTCATTTATTTATTTATTTATTTATTTATTTATTTATTTATTTATTTATTTATATATATACAAGAAGGTACATTGGGTTTGTGAGAATACATTGGATAGTACAGTAATTACATTCTTGTAAAGCCACTAGTACGCGCAGCGTTTCGGGCAGGTCCTTAATCTAGCAGGTAATTTTAAGTAGGTAATTTCAATCAGAATTGATAAATGATAAAGATACATTACAAGAGAAAAATGAGATGAGAGAGATAAGTAAGTATATTAAAGCACATTGTTATATTAAAGCTCTGATTGATTACATTGACAGCTTGATTAGTAATTTAAACAAGATTAATAGACACCATACAGCAGATTGACAGCACATATCAAAAAACTACATTACTCGAGGCAAAGCTCGTAATCTGATTCAAATTTTACTAAGAAATTGAGCTCGTAGCGCTTAAAGTTCGTAAATAGGGGCATTTGTAAGCCGAGGTGTCACTGTATATCCAGTATATAGACTGGATATAGACAAAAATACTAGTCAAGAGCTTTGTGTTATCCTTTGCAGATGATACAATTGTCAGCATGAAAATTTCCTCTGTACAAGAAACTGAAAAACTGCAGGCAGATATTAACCCTTAAAGGGCGC